CTCGTTCCTGCAGATCACATGCTCTTCGTTAGACGTTTTTGGCTGTCAACCAGTATTTAATTTTATTTGGATTAAATTCATACATATAATAATGCACCTGGATGGGAGGGGATTTCCAGGTAGTAAATTGCAAAGCTGTGACGTGAGTTTGCTGCACCAAAACTTTGTCACTGGGGAATAACTTGAAGCAAATTTCTGAGCAGTCTCAAAAAGGCAGTGTGGTGACAGCAGGAGGGAAGTTGAACAGCAGCATCCTGGAGATGAGGGCAGGAAGATGCCCTGGGCCGTTTGTAGTAGAAAAAGATTCTTTCTAGTTAACATTCTAATGGAGGGGTTTTCCAGAAAGAGGGGAAAAGCCTTTTCCCTTTTACTCTCTTTAGTCTTCCCCCCCCAGTTTAATACATAACCAGTATTTGGACAGAGAGCACAAATGAGACAAGTTTTTGTTTTTAGAGAGCAAAGCAGCTACTGGATCCCCTCAAAAATCAGAGGAGAGACGAGGGGAGAAGAGAAAAGCATCTGAGATGGATGACAATGAAAAAAAGGTATGGACAGCTGGACAGCAACCACACTGGGGTGGGAGGAAGCTGAGGCAGTTTCAGTTGTCTGTTCACTTTTGCCTTCCATATGGAAAGCCTTTGAAATCTTCCTATTACAGCACCCTAAATTAAAATGAAATGTAAAGGCAGAAATAACAGCAACAAGCACCTTTGTAAAAGACGCAGATGGCCACAGCCCTTCTTTCCTGGCCACAGAGCTGACATAACTGGATTTGTCATGCTAAAGGCCAATAATCTGTTCACCCACCAGCAATGTCCTGCTCCACAAAGCAGACTGGTGAGCAGCTCCTCTTCCTGAGTGCTGCCTATGGAAGGGTTTGGAGCTGTAAAGGGAGAGAACTGTCCTTTCCAGCCCATTGTGCAGCAAATTGTAGGAGTGGATTAAGAATCACTGAGCTATAATTTCCTGCTAAGCCTGGATGTAAACAGCAAGCCCCCTCCTGGGGTGATTATGTTCTCCTACTTTAACTAAGAAGCATCAGCTTGTAAAGACAAAGACATTAAGATCATGTTTACTGGACCACATCAGCATCATCACTAAGGGGAATAATGGGGTAATAATTCCCCTGTGCTAGGGAAGCACTGTCCATCTGTAACATCTGGCTTCCAGAGGAACTGCAGGGGTGGTGCTTTTGTCTATGATTTAATGACAGTCCAAAGAGCCATTTCCAGTTATTAGCCATGGGATTAGAATGAAACTTTGGGACCTGGTAATGGACTTGTTCATGCCTCAAAGACTTTAGTTGAATTTCCAGATCAATCTGATGTTTTTACCAACCTGTGCATCTCACCCTCTTTCACACAGACACTGCTGGACATATTCACTGGTGTGAAGTTGTACCTGTCGCCCTCTGTGAAGGACTTTGACAAAATCCGGCGGTACTTTATAGCGTACGATGGGGATCTTGTGGAGGAGTTTGACACAGCCTCAGCAACGCACGTTATAGGGGACACTGATGAGAATCCTGGTGCTAAGCGCGTGTCTCCCAACTGGATCTGGGAATGCATCCGGAAACGGAGACTGGTAGCCCCATGCTAGCAGTGTGGGGCAGCTGACCAGTCCTGACACAACAATTCCCTGAAGGCAACAGCGGAGAACGAGGTAGGTAGAAGAAATGGTGAGATTCCTCTGCAGAGACACGGAGAGACATTAAACACCCGAGTCCATTAGAGGTTGTTATAAAGAGCCATAGCAACCATATGGAATTAATTAAAACAACTCTGAAGAAATGTCGCTGCTGAAGCCATTTTTCTGCCCATACTGCAGACCAGTGTGCTGGTTTAGGTGCTGGTTTAGTCTCCTTGGGTTTTTAAAGTTTGGGTATTTTTATAGATAAAGAAATAAAAACTGAAGCTGTTTCTTGTCTGCTGTCAGGACTTATTTTCCAAAGGTTATTCTCTGCCTGGACAGGAAAACAGACTGCTGGAGTGCCAGGATCCTTTTGCTGCATGGCTACAATTGACATGAAGGACACGTGTCCTTCTCCTGGTTTGACTTTTCTTTCCTAACATTCAGCACAGGTTTGTATCCAGTAGCAGTTTATACCTCTGCTGTAGGTTTAATATTAAAACGAGGCCACCAACTAAGCTTCCATTACAGCAACTGCTGTAGCATCATCCCAGCATCCTCTTGGAACATTGTTTTTTCTAGAATATGTTGCTCACATGTTCCACTATTCATGTTTCAACAAGTAAAAGCTGAGAAAGAAACTACCACTTGGATTGTTTAGGGTAGTTGAGTTTATCTGAAGCTGTTCAAAACTACTGTAAGTACTGGAATATTGATGAAATAAGGAAGACAAAGTGCATTTGCTGAATAACTCTGCATGTGTACGTCACAAAAGGGAAAGTGAGTTGACCGGTTTACTGGTTCCCTTAGTCTCAAGGGGCCAGTGTGCTCTCCCCTTTGTCATCTTCACAAAGTTATGACTGTACTGCTAAGTTCTTCATTTTCTGTTCATTTTTTTTCCTTCACCCCCTTCTGTACTGGTGCCCACCCTCTCATGATACTTAAGCACCTGGTATCCTGAGCCTTTTCTGGTTGAAGTTCAGAAGTAGCTGTAGGATGATGCCTGCTGGCAACAGTCAGAATAACAAGGTTAACTAAATCACATTTCAACTTTATTATAAAATTATAAACCAAACTTCTGTACCAAAACTAGTAAGTTTAACTGTCATAGTACCCAGAGGATTTAATAGAATAACATGCCATTTCAAGTAGAATATTAACTTTTAAAATATTTAAACTATGTACAGTGTACATAAAGCACATAAATATTTCCATTTACTTTATTAGTTCAGATAATTATATTCCTTTGGATTATTAATCACATTCCTCCACATTTTGATTTTCATTTAAAAACAATCATATCCAGAGTAGAGAATCCATTTTTACAAGGGAAACACTGTAGTCAGGGGGGAAGAAAAAATAAAAATAGAGTCCTCCCTTCAGAAAGCACATTTCAGAGTCATGGTGGGTATCTCTTGTTCTTCCTAAAATTTCAGGTATCGATCAGCAAGTTGATTTATCTGCTGTAGAAAACAGACCTACCCTCTACGAGTAAAAGTACATCTGTCCCCAGGGGAAAAATCTTCCTGCTAAATTCCCCCAGCCCTGAGTTTATTGAAAAAATCTGACAACATGAATTTTCACAGTGAATTTACTACATGAGGCTGTTCAACATTTTGTATCTGTATCCCTGTCCCTCTGGAAGAGTAAATAGTTCCTGCTTACCTGCAATTTTTTTTTTTTAACAGAACACATTGAATGGTACCAGTACTCTTCTCATGCTGGAAGCAGTTAAACCGTAAACCAAAGATTACAGAACAACCTGAACAGGGAAAGATTTTCTCAGAATTTTTAGTTCAGGAAACCTCAGCAGCTGTCACGTTTTTGTGGAGGTCAGAGACCATCACAATAGCGCAGAGGTTCTGCTACCTACCAAGTGACAGCTTTCCTCATCTTAAGTGCTTCATTGATTCCAAGTAGAGACCCTCCACTCTGTGCGAGTTGAGCAGTGAGTTGCTAACTGTGCAATATTCCATGTTAAAAGATTACAGAAGCTTAATTTGCTGTTAACACATGTTACCACTTACTGCAAAAGCAGATGGCTTCGGTGATCACTTCTGTAACTGCACTTCCACTACTCGAGAACCTCTAAGTGGACACTTGTTTTTTACGCTGTTCTCTGCTGGCAGCCACGCAGAGATTCAGTTTGAACACTAAGTGATCATCCCCCCTCGTAAAGGGGAAAGCTAGACAGGAAAAAACCTGCAGCAAGAGGTACTCAACTTCATCAGTGACCTGAAATGAGTATACAGTCCCACAGTGGCTGGAAACTTAAGGCATCAAGATTCTGAAATCTAGCTGTGTTAGCAGCCAACTGGACTGAATGCTTGCAGGCCACTGAGGGAAAAATATGCCAGTTACAGTTTTCTCTAGCAAGGCTTCCAGCTGAGGAGAGCTGTAAGGGCTTGCAGTTGTCACCTATCAGACCACAGAATCTCTTATCCACCCTGACAAGCAGGAAAAGTAGAAAATACATCACTTTGCTAAGCAGTCTGAATGTAACAGGACTGTAAAGTTGAGCAAATGGGATGATAAGGGGGAAGCTGATTAATAAACAGAAGCACCTGCAGTGATAATTGCTCATCTTACTGATTCAAGGGAGATAAAGTTTGCTTTCTTTCATGTCTCCCCTCTAAAAAGAACAAGTCACCTTTACTTAAATAAGATTGTGTAGCAATGGACTCCTTACTGCTCTGCAGCTGTATGTTTTCCTCACTAAACCCTCTAAAAGACTCAAGTCTTAGATCTGTAGCTCCTTCATCAAGTGAAGTCAGCTCAGTTTTAAAGCGACTGCTGGCATATACTGTAAGGAAGCCTGTGAAGTTAAAGGAATCAACAACAGTCAAACTAGAGATCTTCCTCTCTGGCATGTAAACAAAACCACCAGCACACAAGGTAAGGCTGTATGTTTCATCACAGAGTCTCACTTTCCTTGTACATTTTTCAATAATACAAAGTCCAAATAAAATTAGACATTTTTCCACAGTTGCACTAGGCTAGGATTATGCTTATTCTGAACATGGTAATTGAAGGCTGTGTCTGCCTGTCCTGCAAGCATAAGAATTTAAATTTAAAAAAAAACCCCCAACCAAGCACAACACAAAAAAACCCCCAACCAAGCACAGTAAAATTATAATCTTTGAAAATAAAGTTGTTGCTGGGTGCATAGCCTAAGCAGCAAAATAAATGTTGCTTTTTGAGACCCCAGTCAACTTTTGTTTATTATTCAAGGGAAAATATGAAGCTTCTGAATCTAATCTTTGTGGTGGAAAGCCAAACATCCACCTGTCCCCAGCACTCGTGGGTCAAGTTTAATTCTAGAGTGTAGGTTGTTGATGATTTCTGTGTCTGCTGCTGGCAATAAGCTCCAAGGAGTCCAGGCACTGTGGTGTAAAGCACTATTGTGGGAAAAGCACAGCCAGGCATGGCTTGAGTAAGAACAATCTTCCCCAGGCTTCATCCTTCCCTCATTTCCAGGGGGCTCCACATACTAATCTCTGACCTATTTGTGGCGATATTGACCATTCTTCTAACAGCAGGTGAGGCTTTAAGGCATCACCGGTCTTCCTTACACACACTTAGGACTTAAAGACATGGACAGCCCTTATCACGTACTGCCTGCAGATGGGACATTCACTCATCCGCTTCCCACACTTGGTGCAAGTGACCATGTGGCCACATTCCAGCAGGACACAGTCAATGGGTGCATCCATGCAGATTTTGCAGAGGTTGTCCTCCGTGCCAGGGAGCCCAGCACCACCTGAGTGAAGAAGAGACCACAGTTTGCATGAGATAAAAGAACGTTGTTCTTGTGCAATCTGGGAGTTGGCTCTATCAAAGGGCTTCCTCATGAACTTTTGCACACTGAAGGTCTGGTAAAAAAAGAATTCCCTTTGTGTCTACACTAGTGTGGATTAATCTGCTCCATCAACCAGCAAAAGCAGGAAGTTTTCACTTCTACACAGTATTTTCTGTGTGATGAGAACAGAAATAGCACTGAGATTCTTACCAATGAGGTGAATGAAGCAACGTTAAGAATGTCACTTACCAGTTTGATCATCAGTGTCAGAAACTGCAACAGAAGAAAAGAAAGTTATTTGGTGAGAATAAGAGAAACTGGAAAAAAAAAAAAAAATCTAGTCAAGTGGTACTAGTAAGCAGGGGATGACAGACTCAGAGGGAGATTACTAACCCCAAACTGCTTTTTGCTGATCCCCGTGCAGAGGTTCAAGCTGATTCTCTGATCAGTGACAGGTTGTTCAACTGGCAAGAAACTTTCTCTTTCACTGAGCTTATGCACTTGCTAACACGTCACAAAGATAAGCCACTATCTGAAGTGATGTCTCGATTTTTAAGACAGCCTTGGAATTTATGCAGGGTTTGGCTTCCTAGAACTACACTTTCAGTAGCCCCTTGTGCCAGTTTCTTTGGTGCTACGGTCTCACCAATATTGCTGAGTACAGCTGAGACATGCATGGGCACCAGTAATTAAGAGAAAAGGATAAATTCTGTCAAACACACAAGACAGATACAATGAAAGAAGAATATACAGCCAAGGCAGTTGTCTTAAATCTTTTATCATTCATTGAGGACAAAGCTTAGAGATGTGTTTAAGAAAACGACGCTACTTGGGACAACACTGAGAAACAAACCTAAGTGTTAAAATACATTTCTCTTGTAAATAATTAACAGTATCTGTCTTTTTTAACTTATCACCTAGAATTGCAAACTGGCACTTGAAAGTCAAGCCAGATACGTTCTCTATGCACCTCCATGACACCACTATCGCCTCATCATTCAGCTGTGCAGGCACAGGAGGAACGCTCCTGAACGGAGTCAAACCACAGATAACCACAATGCTTCAGCAGTGGCAGCCACAGTCCCTGAGCACCTGCCCATTCTGAATTGTCTGCCTGCCTGTTGGTGGCATTTTCCTGCTGGCTTTGCCAGTTACCATGAGGCAATAGATAGTGCTTACACTCTACAGTCACACACGGGCAGTTCTGTGGTGATGGAGTGACCAGCACGATCTGCCACAGCTATACAAAATCCTGAGGTGAAGGGTGCACAGTTCTCATCTGTTGCTCCTCCAGGGAAGTCGCTCTCCAGAGCTCCCATAACACCCTCCTCTTAGACAACTACAAGTAGTGGGGAATAGAGTTCAGCTACTTTAACATGCGTAACACTCCCTCCTTTCTCCTCACTTGCACAAAACAGAAACAACTTCTATTTCCTTCTGCAACTGTCTGTAAAAAGGAAAAACCTGGAAAATGGGCACATGTTTGCTAAATTTCTTACCTAGATGCTGAAGGTCTTTCTCTTTATAAAGACGAGTCACCCTCTCTAGCAGCTCCCACTTTTCACAGCAGCCTTTGTAGTTGACAAAGTTCCGAGCGAGGATTTCCTTCAGCTGTCGCACAGAGAGGGCATTGATGTCTCCAATGCTTGTTAGATCAGAGAGAGAAGCCTTCCTCCCCTGCACCAGGTTATCTTCTGAGTCAGTAGACTGAAAGGGAACAAAGATGGAATGAATCTTGCCCTCAGCACCTAGCACTACAATTTAAATCAACTTTCACCATGTGCACTAGCAGGAATTCGTGTCTGGATGTACATATAAAACTCTGATCTGCAAATTCCTTTATCTATCAGAAACACAAGTCCCAGGATGGAAATTAATCAATTCTATTATTACAGTGCCCAAGTGACACCAGTTCTTTATATATGTGGAGGACAAGATGATGCTAAGGAAAGGGGTTGATTGGGTCTGTCAGTGGTCAGTGTGAATTACTGTTTAGCCACCCATCTCTCTGCAGGAATGATTCTGTGGTGTCAAATACAGCCTAGAAAACCTGGTATTCCTTGTCATCTCATTCCAGGACACACAAACCTCTGTCTCCTCCTCTGTTGGTGCTTCCGCTGAATTCTCAACTCCTGTCACACCGACTTGGCCTGGAGGCACGTAACCATTTGCCTAGAAGAGGAAATAAAGCTTTCACCAACAGCACACCTCTGTGTGCAAAGGGAAATAACGACAGTTCAGCGTAACTGCAAACCCTGCTCACTGCAGGGACAAACTGCAGCACGAGGTAGAAGTGAGGCACACTCACAGAAGTATTTCCTGTACAGCACTTACAAAAACAAATATACTTTAAACAAGAAAAACTTTTTGAAACTGAAGCGCAGCACCTGATCCTTAAAAGCTTTATTTTAACCCTGACAGAGTACTTGCACAGTAAGATCACACATGATGTTCATGTGAGGCTGGATCAGGAGGAGACCAAATTTACACACACACACACAGACACACATATATATATACATACACGTACAATCCTTCACTGAAGCACTGCAGTGTGACATAGTGTGATATCAGAGCTCTGATGGCACATGGGCTATCAATGCTCAAAGGCTACAAGCCATCTATCTTCCAAGTCACTGTACAGAAACACCTCCTCAGGGGGGTTCTGGACTGGACAAATAGGAGATACTAAGTGAAGGACCAGCAGCAACAAAGCTGGAAAATGAGAAGGGACAGTGGCTCTGAGCATTTAAATGGAAGAAACTGCAGTGTAATTCTAGCTGACTTGCCTTCAGCAGCCATCATTCCCTTCTGTGGTTTCCCTGCTGACAAAGCAGGCTGTAACGTTACCACCCTACTTCTCTAAGTGGTGACTTGTTAATATTTACAAAGCAAAAGAGTAACAATAATGATGAAAGAGCCTGAACTGCAGCAGGATCTCGTGGGAGCTGAGATAAGAAGCTGAAATGTACCATGGGGCAGTAAGGGAAGATGACAGAGCTGAACATGCAAGTGAGAACTGGAATGGCAATATCCAGAATACCAGAGAATGAAAAGGCCCTTTAGTGATTTGTAAAAAAATATCCTCCCAGGAAAACTCTTCTTTTATATGAGATATACCTGCTGAAGAAGCAGAAGGTACACACAATTTCACAGCTCTGGTCCAGAGGGAACTAAATAGACCTAATAACTTAGTAATAGAACTAGGAGCAGATGTCAAACACTAAGTAAACTTCCCACACCAGACAGCAGAAAGACAAACAAAGCAAAGTCAATAAAAAATAATTAATCTTGAATGCCCCTGACAAGGTTCATCAGAACTGCAGGGTTCATCATAAACTGAAGACTAACAACAGACTCAGGGTTTTTCCTCTTCTATTCATCTTGGTGCAGGAGATACCAAAAACCTCACCCATCTCACAATCATCTTTCCCAGCAGTTTCAAATCCATCATTACTTTGAACTGTGCCTACTGTCTTGCACATGAATTAAAGAACAATAATAATAATTTAATCTGACACCCACACACAACTGTCAAAGTTGTGAACATCAACACACGAGATAGATCTGTGCACCAACACAGACACCAGGTACCAAAGGAACCAGTCACAGGAGTATCTAGTGGCAATGGCAAGTGTGGACCAGAAAACACAGCTCAAAATAGTGGTGGTGTTCTCAGAGTGAATGTTCAATCTATTCAGCACCACCCACCAAATTAAATTCCACTAGTGTAGAAAGGGAATAAATAGCACATCAAAGTTGGTGACAGCAAGTCACAGTTTTACACAGCAAGGCAGTGTAACACAACTCGTCTTACTTTCCTAATTATTCTATAAGAAAGTACGAGGTCCTCACTTCAAAATTTAAAACAAACCTGAGAAGAGCGTGTATAAAATGCAACTGAAGTATCCTGTCACCTGTTCTAAACAGAAACCCTCTTTGTTTTTTTAAGCAGGCATCTTTAACATAAAAATTCTTTTGGCACATCATCTACTTGGAAAACCTCATGCAACATCTTAGTAGTTAATCCAAGACCAGAGATGAATGAGTTTGCAAAAGATGCTTCTGGCTAGAGACTGTACCTGTTGATGTTCCTGAGCTAGTGAACTTGAGATGGGATCTGCAGACACGGGAGATGCATCATGTGAGGTAAAGGATGCTGTGCTGCTTGGTGGGAGAATCACAAAGTCTTGCTGTTCAGAGGCACTAGTATTGAATGGATTTATTCTCATCTGCTCTTCCTGGGTAATTACAGGCTGCTGGCCAAGAATCAGAAATACCAGGTCCTCCTTTTCACGACACAACTCTGTGGAAATCTCACGGAGTGCCAAGTAGTCTCGCAGATCCTTCACCTTCATCTTTATCAACTCTTCCCGCTGGAAAGCCGTGGCTCGGAAACGCTGGCACAGATGGCAGAGCAGGGGGCCACCTTCGGGCTGGTTTGAGCAGGACGTGCAAAAATTCTTCTTACAGTCCAAGCAGATGTGCTGGCAAAGAAAAGGGAACAGAATCAAACCGATCCACCGTGACCTGCAACAGCAGTGCACAACGACTGCAGGCAGTGCTCCCCTACCATCTGGAAGCCAAAGTAAGTAACAGGCTCTGTTAAAAGCATATAAAACCTTCTAAATTATGAAAAAGTGCCAAGTATGTGACTTCTGCCCCTAGATGAGGAAAAGGATCCATCCCATGAGCAGATCTCTAGATTCTTAGAGTTTTTAGAAAACCACTATGTACACTCCCAGTTACCCAGAATGAAATACTTTATTCTCAAACAATTCCCTCAAGTGACAGGAGTTTTCTGCACCTTTTTCTGGACCTGTTCATCCAGTTTAAGCCACAGATGAAATCAGGAGATACCTATGATAAGCAGACTTTCAAGTGAACTGCAGCGAGCTGTGCACTGCTTTATAAAACAATGAAATGTTGCTCTGTGCATTAAGAAAGTTCTAGCATTGGAGGGAACAACTTAAAAACATTTATTTCATAAATTTTATACTTGCTACAAGTGACATCCCTCACCCCCCCCTTTTTTTTTCCCTTCAATTTGCTGCAATCACTAAATTAATATTTTTTTTCAACTTAAGAGGAAAAGGAAACAGCAAAGCTTACCGTGTTTAACAGACTTCAAAGAATTCAACATTTATTTATACAACAAAAATAGCCAGCTTAGTCTGAAAATAACGTGCACACTGTGTGGCAGTTAGGTGCTAGACAGAAAGTGTTGGAAGTTTTGGAAATATAAGGCCCCAGATGTTTAAAAACTTTACAGATTAAATTCTGGTTTTTAGTGTTTATATTTTATACTGTTCTGGTCACTCAGGGCTTGATTTTCAGAAGTTCCAAGCACTCACAGTCCATGTTGACCTTCTGGAGAAACTTGACTGTTCAATACTTTGGAAAGTCAAATTCTACATTTTTCCAATAGGAATAAGCAGCAGAACAGCCGCTTTATGCACCTTTTAAAAAGTCCCGAGGGAAGAAAGAACTGGTTTCAGTGGTGGTGAAAAATGCTAATTCACAGTCTGAGAGAAGACAAGTATCTCCATGAAATCCTGACATCCTGACCCTTCAGAGCTATGCAAGGAAAAATACACAGGCAGAGTTGGAGAAGCAACAAATACAAACTCAGAGACAAAAAAAAAATTGCTTCATGAATTGCTTCTACTGATTAAAGAACATTTTTAAGGTCACAGTTCAAAGAAAGCAGATGTTTCTCACATTTTAAAAGGTATAAATACACTACTTGTTTACATCAGCTCCTTCTAGAGCCCCTGTACAGCCTGGCAGCCCCTTGCCCCACACACCCCCTTACAATTATAACCGACAGACTTCTCATTTAGACTCTGTAACAGACTTGTAACGACAGTTAGTGGAAAGAATCACAATTTCCTGCCTAAGCATTTTAAGGCATGAAAGAGAGAATCCTCTGGTCATGCAAACTTGAAACCTCATCTCAAAATTGCTGTTCGGGGGCCCGCCAAGTAAAAAGTGACTTTCATCAATCACAAAGCAAGACAGGAAGGGCAATTTCCACATACCATCCAGTTCTGACAAGTTTTCCTTAACTTGCTCATTATAAAAAACATCCAGATGAAACTGACTTTTTTTTGACCCTATGATTGCAGGAGCAATCCAGTTCCTCGGGAAAGTTTCAGGGCAGAGATGGGAACTCCTGGTTGTGCATGTGGCTAGAACAGGGGAACAAACACTCCACAAAGGCAAAATAATGGAAAATAACCCCACTGATACCATTTTCCCTCTCTCAATCACTCATCTGGGACAGGGGAGCAACCAGAAGAACTGAGGGAGAAAACAAACAAAAGCTAACCCCAAATCTCCTGCTTTACTCTGGTGAGAAGCTTCCCCCAGGCTCTGCAGATGGCCAGACCAGCTCCAAAGGGAACTGCTGTATGGCCAAGGACCTTCCAGCCAGAAAACTCCTACTTGAGAACTTCTGTGTTTGGATACCACGTAAGTGAGCACAGTACAAGGGCTGCATTATCCAACACGGTTTTTGCAAGCAATTAACAGTAATAACACAAGTCTGCCTTAGTTATCAAATGATACATTGGAGAAGTCAAAATAAAACCAGGCATGTCTCTGGCTTATCAGTTCACAGCTAGGATTCATCTTCAGAGAAAAAAAAAAAATAAATTCCCCAGCCTGTATCTGAGCATCAAGTATTTAAACACACACAGCAGCTGTTTGTCACATCTCAGCATCAAACAGCTTTTACAGCTTCGATGTATTTGTTGAACTCTGAGTGAAAGGGCAATGACTGAAGACACCAGTCTCTTCAGAATGGTTGGTTTCAAATGTTGTTGTAAATTAAAGCCTGTTACTAAAAGGTCAGAACGCTTTTGAATGATAGATGCCCCCTCCCTGGAAGTGTTGAAGGCCAGGCTTTGAGCAACCTGGTCTAGTGGAAGGTGTCCCTGCTGATGGCAGGCGGGTTGGAACTGGATGATCTTTAAGGTCCCTTCCAATCCAAACCAGTCTGGGATTCTATGATACTTACTAACTGATAACACAATCACAGGACGGTCAAATAGAAGTGAAATACTTTAAATCAGGAGTCTGCCCAGAATGGAAGCTGTTCCTGGTTGTTTGCTCTAACAGTCTCCCACAGACACCAGGATGGGCCTTTGATACACTTGGCTCTTCTCCGTACGCAGGGTAAAATGAAGAGATGCCAACATTCGAGCTTTCACTATGGCTACTATTGTTCAGGGGTTTTTTTTAATCTTACACAAAATGCTCCTGGCAAGATAGAGTGTAAATATGCAAAGAAAAGCATCTTCCCAAAAATGTCAACCAATTTAAAGCACTGAAATAAAAAAAAATGGGGGAGGAAAGAGTAACAACCTGACATATCCACCAAGAAGGCCTGCCACAGCTTTCCATCAGCCCAGAGGGAACTGAAGAATGCTTGTTTTAAATTTAAAAGACTTAGTGGAATAAGTTTGCTGTAGAAAACCAAGATCAAAAAGTCATCTAAAAGAAGAACACCACAAAAAACCTCAGAGATTTTTTGCTACCATGATTAAATTTTACATCCTTTAAAGATGCTCCAACAGTTACTTAAAAGCATCTTCTAAGTACATGCTCCATTCAAATGTCCCCTACCCTAATGCTTCTAGTAGCTGCCATGTTATAGGAAAGTTAAAATACAATTATGATAAAAGATCAATTACTGAAGATACCAGCATTCTGCTTGTTGTTTTTTATTTGTTTGTTGGTTGGTTTTGTTGGGTTTGGTTTTTTTTAATCAATCTAGGTTATCCTTATGGTCACCAGTGTGGAAAGAATTAATTTTTATCCATTTTATTTCAGTATAAACATTAACTGGACACTAGATTTCAAAGGTACCACCTCTCCTGGGAGAGAATGCAGAACTTTCCATGCTCCCAATGCAGCAAAATGAGATTTCATACACTTCTTCATCCTAGGTTGCCCAAGGAAGTTGTGGATGGTCCTCCCTGGAAGTGTTCAAGGCCAGGTTGGATGAGGCTTTGAGCAACCTGGTCTAGTGGAAGGTGTCCCTGCTGCTGGCAGGGGGGTTGGAACTGGATGAGCTTTAAGGTCCCTTCCAATCCAAACCATTCTATGATTCTATGATATCAACAGAATTAAAGAATTAACATGGCTTACAAACATGTCAGTGTTTTATAAATTATGTATTCAGTATTATTTTGGAGACCAAGGACCATGGTTCTAGCACTGCTACTGTATAATCTGTACTTAACTGCATGAATTGTTTTCATTTCAAGAGCAGGACTGTCTACATCCACTATTTGCTACTACACAGAAGAGGAAGCACTGGATTCAGAATAATTCTTTCCACAAGTGTTTGCAAAGATACATAACATTAAGGGTGAGAATGTTAAAGACAACACTATGTGGAGTCACGTGCAGTGACTGCACCATTCCCACCTGCCCCAGAATCTGCCTACTGTCTGAAAAAGTCTAAATGTACTTATATACCTGAAATATATTAACACATATACCCAACCCCCAAAATATATTACCAAAATTTAAATTTGTGGTGATTTCTACAACAATAACACTTCTCAGTGCAAAAATGCATAAATATTCCTGTTGTTCCATGAGTAGAAAGGAACAGCTCTGCCAAGACTTACCATTTCTCAGGTATGTGCCAGCACGAGTGAATAAAAAGGTGCAAGAAAGACCAATTTCTTAATTTCCCCATCTAATCTAAAAGGGCTGTGGCCAAAATTCACTCTAATTTTTAAGTTCTCACGTTATTAAGTTCAGTAACACGCCATGTATAAGAGAGTTCTTCAGCCACAGAGTTTGGACTCTGAACAACTTTCCTTACTAAAACATTTTTGAAGCAGCATTATAGGAACCACCATGCCCAAACAATGTCCCAGACAGGGTTTGCTATCTAATTAAAAACCTTGTGGCAACAATTATTTTGGCATCTATATGGTCACAAATGAAGTTTATGAACGAGATAGAATGGATTTGGGTTTTGGGGGGGGTGTTTGCATTGCACTTCAGCAATTCACCACACATCCTCAATAAACTTACATGGCTTTTTAGTCTGAGATGTAACAGTTTGGAAGAGTTATGTAGATCTTCCGTTACTGAAACACAGATTACTAAACTTGCCACAGTTTGTTTGGTTTTTTTTTTTTTAAAGGGCATGTTTTTAAATAACAAATTAAAAAACTCAGGCTCAAGTTAATGCTCCTTTAAATGATGATAAGCAGTTTGGCTTTCTTCTTTCAGCGCCTGGGAAAGCCAAGTCTACTGAAGGTGAACTACCACATTTCCAGTCATCTTTAGCTACATTTGCTAATTGCAAAAGAATGACAAAAGACACAGAAGCCAAGGCAAGCTGTCTTTTCCCACATGGTGTCCTCAAATCAGAGGCCTCTAACACGCACCCATTTCTCTTCAAACTGGCTCTCTAATTCAATGGCAGTCGGATGGCATATTGCAAACTGGATACTCCCCCAAGTCAGCAGTGCCAGAGAAGACATTTGCAACTCACCTTCCTGGAGGTGTTGTCGAAGTGTACCCCACAGGCTTTGCAGCTCTGTTCCGAAGCAGTGGGAGATGGGTAGGAGCTGTACCCGGGGTTGGAATAGGCTTGGGCTCTGGCTCCCTGCTGCGGCTGCGACTGCATCTCTTCAGGTGAGCCATCCAGACAAAACCAATTACAACAGCTTGCCCACATAGTATCTGAAAGTGGAAAAGATACACACTAGAAACGAGCTGGGAAACAATCTGTCAGCCAGTGAGAACAAAGCACAAAGTGCATCTCTGAATTTCCCACCAGCAATTCATTTTTGACAGTGTAAGTTTTGCTCTTTCCTCTAACTTACAAGCACATGCAAAACCCACACGCCCAGTCCAGCACAGGATGCCTCTTGTGAGAAAGAACAAATAAAGTTCCAGTTATTACTGGAATTTCTTAGAGCTAAGTGATTACAGTGAAGATAAGATAAATTTTATGTTCCAGTTGGCTGGATGAGAGCCTGTGATCAAGTCTGCTGTAACAGGCTGTCTCTATTCTACATAAGCCATAACACACCGACTTTGTTTTCTGTGCATTGAGAAAAGCAAACAAAAGCTCAAATTATATCTCATATATTATTTAAATAAAATCAGCAGCCAGATCATAGATGGCTATTCTTCAATTTTATTCTAAAACTCTCTACAGATTTAGAGGTACAAATCTAAAAAGATAAAATAAAAAAGGCCAGTGGAGCTGCTGATTTAACATATGCCAGTTCTCAACTGAATTTGCAGCATTACAAGGCTCAATTGACACACAGCGAGTAAATGTCAGTAAAGTAAGAAAAATCAAATACCAGCTTCTAGTAACTTACTTGGGAAAACAACTGCATCAGAGACACACAATCACTTGGGTTTTTTGCAAGCCAAATATATATATATATATATACACACACATATATGTATACACACACACTTACCTAAAATCCTAACAGTCCATGCAAAATGCACAGTTTTGGAGTCTTCCAAGACCACCCATGCAGAGTATTCCAGAAACACTCTGCTATAAACTTGCTTTGGGGAGTTTACAAAGAAATCTGAATTCATCTGGGCATTCAGTTTCTAGAGCATACACCATGTGTCATCACTTACTGGTAAACAGAATACAAATTGCCTCCTCTGCATTTCTGTATTCACGCTGTAGTTCCTGGACTGTGTTTCTTTTATGTCTTAAAAATGAGGTTCATCACTGATAGTGTTCAGCAACTGCTTGATTTTTATAAACTTCTGGAAATAAACCATCTCTCAGCTACACAGCCAATTCATTTTTTTCACCTCAGTAAGTATTGCCAATGTAAAACTCCACATTCCCAAGGGAAGGGGGGGTTGGTATGAGTCCTAAAGGTTATTTGTTATAATATATTAAAATAGTGTTCTGTTGGTTTTTTGGTTTTTTAAGCTGTGTTAAGTCTTTTGGGTTGATGTACTTGAATTGGGAGGCTTTTGCAGCTTGGTGCAGTTCCAGTAGCTGTAGTTTTAGTGGTTATCTTTAATCCTTTCAAAATCTAGCTGAATTTGGCTCGTCAAAGCTCCCGCTGTCGCTGCGGTGGACATATGCTTTTCAAACTCCACAATGGTGAGCTTACCAATGAACTCTTCCCTGCAGGCTCAGCAGATTTTAATGTTTAAGGGATGGTCTACAGATTCATGGCATAATAAACAATTCTTAGTGTAACTGATGTGCACAACGCTGTAGTGTAAATTGCACTTAGACTGGCAACTAGATCTCTTAATAACAGAATAGTAACAGACAAAAAGGAGCTCCAGCTGGCTGCTGAAAGGACTGGGGTAACCAAAGGGGGCAGAGAAACACAAGGCACCAGACTATTATCACAGATATCTGTAATATCAAAGATTCTGTAAGAAAACTGCAAATCACAATACTAAACCAGCATCCATATGTTCTCCACGCCCTACTATCCCCTCACTGATTGCTGATGTAAAATTTTGGAGGTGCCTTGACCATCCTCCTCCCACACCATTTGGAGCTGTTCTCCAAAGCAAGCTGCTGTGCTTCTCCAGCAGCTCTGCATAGCAAACTACCTTGGCAGGAATGTGTGGGTGCTGCACAGAAATCACTCAGGATAGTCACCACACAGCAGAACAAGGAGAATGCTTCAGGCCACCAAGAGCTTTGATTCATGTACAAAACCTGGTGTCAGAAGACAATCAGCTTAAATACAGTTATTATTTATAACCATAAACAAGAATGAATGAAAACCAGTGCAAGTTCTTACACACAGGGACCTGAAGCCTGAAACCATTAATGGCATAACTGGAATGTCTTAGCCTAATATGGAGCCTTAGCCTAACATTTAGTTTCACATGCCACAGTACTCATCCTGTACAAACAGGGGTAATTATCACTTAATAAATCCACAGAGAGAAGCATTCCACGAACAGAAATAATATATCATCCATTTGTATTAGCTCTGCACTGCAATCAAAACACATACTTTAGATACCATACCTAAAAACAATTACTTTGTTCTGCACATTCATTTTCAAGCAATCAGTCTCACTCAGAAGTTAACACATCAATTCTATTGCAAAAAAATACTGAATTTCTATTTTGAACTATGCTGTCTGGAGGTTTAGTTTGTTCCTAGGAACTGCAAATCTAAACAACACCAAAGCTGCACAATGAAACAAGTATTCACAGCCTCCGCAGCAGTGGAAAGCTGTGTCCATAGGCAGTTCTCTTCCTGTTTCAAGACCCCCTGCAAACTGAAGGCCACCCACGATAACAGAATACACAAATGCTACTGCCTGCCCCAAAAACTTTGTTTTCCTAAAAAAGACAGGCTTCTAATTCACTCTGGAACATTGCAACATGTCAAACACTGGGAAGAAAAACACAAGGGAATGCACAAACCAAGATAAAATGAGACAGAACTCAGCATTCAGCTGGAGTTGTAGTTTTGTGTCATTGCCAGGAAATGAGAAGATTGACAAAAGGCTCAGATGTTGCTTTAGAAGAACCTTAACCCTGCTCATCTACAAAAGCATGTAAAGGAAATGTTCATCAACATCTAATAACCAGAACTGTCCTCTGATCTCTGTTTTTCCAAAAATATCTCCCATCTTTAAGAGAAAGGAGCACATGGAAACACGACAGCCTTTCCTACAACACAGGCACCACTCCAGCTTGTACCGGTGTCTGTCAGGTTTTTATGACTTAAAGAAGGGTGTAAGTTTAAGTCAGGGCTTGTCTACACACAGGATTTACACTGACAAAGATGCTTCACTGCAAGCTGCTCTGTGCTGATGGCCTCAGAGGAACAGCCAGCCTTCACTCCACTGCCAGCTCCTCCCCAGCACGTACCTTGCACTGTGAGCCGGCATCCCACCGTCAGCTCTCACACAAACCTGGATTCTCCTCCAGGCACACCGAGATACCTGCCAGCTGGCAACCACTGTCTCTCAACACAGTGTTGAGAGCCGTAGACATCACTTGGACCATGTCGCTGCTCCAAGGGCAAGAAAAGGAGCTCACAAACGTTTCCACCTCTGCCCACACAGTGGCCATCACGCTCTGCATCTCCGTCAACATTGCCCCAACTAACTGTGTAGATATCTGCTACCATTTCCAAATCCTCAGGAGGCCACCATGGCTGAAAAGCAAGGATTCCACCACGGAGAGCTGGAACATACAATGGCCGCTACGGGAGAACTTAAAATGCTGCCACCAGTGAGGTGAAGCTTTGCTAACTGGCAGCTCTACTACCAAGCAGACACGACTGAGGCTTAAGATGCTAAAACATCTCTGTATCTGCCTCCAGCTGCACTAAGGAGATGACAAGGAATGCAAATAAGATTCATCAGCTGCTTCAAGAGGGATTTTTCCTTTGTTTTGCACAGGATCAGTTCTAGACCTGCGGAAATAAGCACTGCTGGTGGGAGAGGACTGGCAGTGGCAAGCAGGATTTCATGGATGGCCACTTCCTAGATATTGCCCCAATGTTTGCTACAGCTTAATTATTCCCTTATTTATTTTGTGACCCATTCAGAGGGATGCAGTCAGCACCCTCCAGAAAATGATCGTTTCCATAAGCAATGCTTTGATGGATGGGTTGTTGGTACAGATGTGGCAGAGCTTGAGCATCCTCTCTAGAAAGCACGGCCCTGTGGAAAGCCTGGCAGTCCTCTGCAGATGAACGGCTGTTCCACATGCAAGGAGCTTCCCCAATTATACTGAGTGATAAATGCCCAGCCAAAAAATTTACCTGCAGGAAGAGCTGCTTCTTTGTTGTGCTCCAGGGTTTGGTAGAGTCATAGAATCACAGGCTGGTTTGGGTTGGAAGGGACCTTAAAGCTCATCCAGTTCCAACCCCCCTGCCAGCAGCAGGGACACCTTCCACTAGACCAGGTTGCTCAAAGCCTCATCCAGCCTGGCCTTGAACACTTCCAGGGAGGAGCAGCCACAGCTTCTCTGGCCAACCTGGGACACTGTCTGACCGCCCTCACAGTGAAGAATTTCTTCCTAATATCCAATCTAAACCTCCCCTCTTTCCATTTAGAGCCATTTCCCCTTGTTCTGTCACTCCCTGCCCTTGTAAAAAGTCCCTCCCCAGCTTTCTTGTAGCCCCTTCAGGTACTGGGAGGCCATTATAAGATCTCCCCGGAGCCTTCTCTTCTCCAGGCTGGTGACTACTTACAGTAACCTGACTAATGTGAACATGTCTGTTTGGAAAAATTAATGACACTGTAGATTTCAGGAATTCTCAAGCAACTTCTTGAATAAAAGATGTTGCCTTACTGGCATGACTAACATTACAGGCATTACTGATATCAGCAATCTTCGTTATTCTTGGACATGATACTCCTGGGAGCCACAGAAAATAACTGTTTTAACTACACAGCTGAGCATGTTTTTTGGGAAACTGAAATCTGTATGGCAGGCGTTCAACAGATGATTTCTGGCAGCCAAACAGTACCTGCCCTAAATCCTAACTGCACGTTGTGCTTGGAGCATCTGCAAGAGCAAAGGGAGAAGGAGCGTCACCAAGGGTGGAGATGCAAGATCAAACAGTCTATTCTGGACCTGCAAACAAACACATCCACCCACATGGCAATCATCACACCGGGCTTGTGTTTTTGGAAGGGGGATTGTTTTATCTTCTTTCTTGAGTCTCTTTAAGGAAAAGCCAGAAGAAATGA